TTCTGTGCGGATGGAAAGCCCAGGTCTGTGCTGTCCAAATTGGTAACCGCGCGTCACTGTATCCACTGACATTAATTGAAATAAAAGCCAGATTTTCAGCCAGGCCTGCGTGGCTCAGTGGCTGTCGACCTATGAACCCGGAGGTCACAGGTTCAAATCCCGAACAGGGCACATGCCTGGGTTGCAGGCTCCGTCCCCAGCAGGGGGCGTGCAGGAGGCAGCTGATCAATAATGCTCTCTCATCATGGATGTTTCTCTCTCTCCCTCTTCCTCTCTGAACTCAATAAAAATACATTTTTTAGGAAAAAAAGCCAGACCCTCAGCTGCACTAGCCACATTCCCAGGGCTCAGTGGCCACACCTGGCGAACGGTGCGCGCACGGGATGCAGGTACATCAGACCCACTAAGAACAGGAAGTGCCGACCTCCTTCTGGCCCCACCCCCAGGGCAGGAACCCCATCCCTGATTCTTCTTTCTTTCTCACTCCAGCCTCTGCTGGGCGTGGACGGCTTCTGGGAGCGAGGAGGCCGAGCCCGAGCTCCTCCTGCTGCCTGAAGCCCTGCAGTGAGCGGGCGAGTGGATGGAGCACCAGCCCCGGTCCGGGCTCGGCGCATGCGCTGTGCGTCCATCGCGCCTTTGCAGGTTACCTGCTCTGCGCATGCGCACGGCACCGCCCATGTCACAGGCTGTCAGACTGAGGTCCAAGGGCTGGTCATGCACAGGGTGCGAGTCTCCCTGTTTCTTCTTCTGGAACCAGGAGGACATGCCTCCTCATGTCCGCAACTTCCCTTAAGAAAGCAGGAAGCTTCCCCTCCCGGATCCTCCCTCCCCGACCCGTGACAGCCCAGGACCCAGGCCCCAGGCCCCGCCCCCTGTTCTGCACGCCGCTGCCTGTCCTTCCCTTTAAGACATTTAGCACAATTTAAACTTAGATGTTTACACAATATGTGTGTCATGTGTGTACTATGTGTAACGTAACCTATTTATATATTTGTAACAAAATTATATAATTATAATCTAAGTATAGTGGGTGTAAATATATCCTTAAAATTATGTGATTTCAGTTATAAATGTATAATTTGAACTACATAAATATTTAAAAATATAAATTTAAAAGAACCTATAATATATGATATATAAGATATATAAGATATCAATTATACATGTTATTATATAATATAGGGTGCATATTTATGTCACATTTGCATATATTGATTGTAGTAATACATGATATAATTGACCATAATGTACTGTATATTCATTTGTAATGTGCTTATTATATTAATCATATTATTTATATATCCCATATAATAAAAGGGTAATATGCAAATTGACCCGAAGGACAGAACAACCAGAACCACCTCATGACCAGTCCCTATGAGGCACACTGACCACCTCTTGGTCCCTTTCCAGGCTCCGATTGCCTGATGCCAAATGGGGAAACAGGGGGTGGGTGGCGGCAGGGGCAGGGCTGGATGCAGGCAGCCGAGGCAGATGGCCCTGATTGCAGGCCAGGCCTAGGGACCATGGCCCCCACACATGAATATCTAATGTAGAATCAACTATATACACTAACATTATTACAGATCTGAAACTTTACCCTGTAAATTATATATTTATATTTGCACATATAGACATACTAGAGGCCCAGTGCATGAAATTCGTGCACTGGCGGAGTGGGGGTGGCGTGGGGGGTGGTCCCTCAGCCAGGCCTGTGCCCTCTCACAGTCCGGGATCCCTCGGGGGATGTCCAACTGCCACAGAGGCGGGAGAGGCTCCTGCCACCACCATTGTGCTCACCAGCCATGAGCCCGGCTTCTGGCTGAGCGGCACATCCCCTGTGGGAGCGCACTGACCACCAGGGGGCAGCTCCTGTGCTGAGCGTCTGCCCCCTTGTGGTCAGTGCCCATCATAGCGACCGGTTGTTCCACTGTTTGGTCAATTTGCATATTAGCCTTTTATTATATAGGACATGAATTTTTTGTTGTTCATTCTAATTAATTCTCCCCACTACAGTTAGAAGGATGGAGCCTGAGCCCCAGCACAGAGCCCCCCAAAAACCCCTCCTAGCTGAGGAGAAGGGCTTTGTGTGTGTGACCGGGGTGGAGCTGGGGGTGGAGCTGAGAACTCGGGGGTTCCTGTGAACAGGGCAGGGGAAAGGCTGATGCTCTGTGGGGGCTGCCTGGGTTCCTCCCACTCGGCCTGGCCCCCCTCCACCCTGAGCATCCACCCACAGGCCACATCTGTCCATCACTCAGTCCCAGATGGCACCCTGAGCTATGGGGAAGGGGGGGTCAGGAGAGGAGGAGAGCCCTGCTCCACTCTGCTGGGGGTTCACTCCTCTCAGCTCCCACCATCAACAACTCTTGGCCTCACAGAATCAGCAGGGAGCAGCTCCCCTGAGGCCCAGGGACATGGGGAGCAGTCCCTGATGGACCCTGAGTCCAGGAGGTCTCAGGGGCTGACCACACACAGGGAGGACAGCTTCATCCCCCAAACCCCTCAGAGCACCGTCATGCCAGCCAAGACCACGGGACTTGCCCATGGAGAGTGGACCCCAGCGGACACATTGCCTGGGCCCCACAGAGCCCGGCCAGGGGAAAGGGCAGGACACCACCATCCTGAGGGGAAGGACTCAGGCCCCTTGAAGGGGTCTGTCCCCACCTGGTGGCTGGAAGCTCAGGCCCCACCCAGCCCAGCAGGACAGCTCTGTGTCTCCTCTGATACGGGGCTCAGGGTCCAGGCCATCGTGGTGTTGAGATGGGACCACATTTCAGGGACCTGAGCCAGGGGTGAAGGCTGAGGGTCATGTGTGCAGAGGGAGGGAAGCCCAGGGTTGGGGGTCAGCAGGAGGACAGGGAGCCCAAAGACAGAGACGGGGCTAGGACAGGGTGCAGGGACTGGGACCAACCTGAGGGCGGAGTGGGGTCCTCTGTCACCTGCAGCTGCAGGCGCTCACTGCGCTCAGACCAGATAGGCGAGTTTTCCCAGTCGTATCTTTTGAAATAGCGGCAGAAATAATTCCCAGCCGTGTCTTCACTCACTGGGGAGAAGTGGATTCTGGCCTCTGTCCCCTGCGAACCATGTGGAGACACACTTTGCTCATCCTTGTAGTAATAATATCCTGCATCCTTCTCCAGACGGAAGAACTTAGCCCCAGCTGGGCCCTGGCACACGAAGGTCACAGGCCGTCCCCGGGGGATGACAGGACCTGGCTCGGCCCTGAGGGAGGGTTTGGGTAGGTCCCCTGGGAGGAAGCAGAGCAGGATCTCAGGCTCCATCAGGAGGAAATCTCCTACTTCACACCTCTTGTGTTTTAAGCCTGCAGCTCAATGATTCATAGCAAACTCACAGAGCTGTGCAACCCTCACCACAGCCCAATTCTAGACCATGTGCACCACCCCTTCCCCAAGAGACCACCTCTTCCCCCTCCAGGAAACTGAGTTCTCATCTCTCCAGTGATTCCCCACGTGACACTCGGACTTCAGTTGTGGTGACATTGTGGCCTTTTCTCAGGGGGACTCAGGAGGTGTCAGAGCAGCCTGGGGCCCCGGACATGTCTTCCTCCCATGGCCACTCTCTAGGGGGACATGGAGGGCTGGGAGGGAGGCAGAGGGTGAGGATGGGCAGGTCACTCCTGGTGAGAGGGGGCAGGAGACTGAGAGGGTGTTTCTGAGTGCCCCCAGCTTGGCTCAGCCAAATGGGAGCGTCTGCCATGGGCTCTAAGGACAGAGTCTGATCCCACAATGCCCCGGGTCTGTTTCTTGGTGATTCCAGGAGACTCAAATGCAAAGCCTTCCCCCCAAGTCACCCCAAATAGCCACTGGGCTGGGTCTGTAGGAAACTGGGGAAGATTGTGGGCACCAGTGGGGGCTGCATGGCCCCATGGGAAGTCTGGGGGTGGGGGTGGGAGTGGAAAACAGCCCAGACCTGCTCACAGGACCCCAGTGGACGGGGACCGCCAATTCCAGGTCATGTCGTCTGAGCAGCACTCACTCAGGTTCCCTCTGCATTTTCCGTCTTTCCAGCCCATTTCCACTTCCTTGTGATTGAGGCTCCTGAAACCCCAAGTGTCTAAACTGGGCTGGGCAGGGGAGGAGAGGGCACTAGGCCTGAAACAGGGAGAAGGCGTCCAAGTTACCCAAACCCGATAGAGGCGGAGCTGGCCGAGCCCCAGCACTCATTCCCTCCTTCCTTCAGCCACAGCTCAGCTCCCATCTCTCCCTTTACAGACGCCTCCTTGTGCCATTGGCTCCACAAATAGGAGAAACACAGAAGGGTCCCTGCCTTCTTGGACCAAAGGGTAGAGGGAGCACAGGGCTGAGGAGGGAGTGTGCAAACCATAGCGAAGCTGTGATACTCACCCAGGGCTGAGTGTGGGAGGCTCAGGGTGAGTGTGAGAGGCTCAGGGGTGAGTGTAGGAGGCTCAGGGTGAGTGTGAGAGGCTCAGGGGTGAGTGTGAGAGGCTCAGGGGTGAGTGTAGGAGGCTCAGGGGTGAGTGTAGGAGGCTCAGGGGTGAGTGTGAGAGGCTCAGGGCTGAGTGTGGGAGGCTCAGGGCTGAGTGTGAGAAGCTCAGGGGTGAGTGTAGGAGGCTCAGGGCTGAGTGTGAGAGGCTCAGGGCTGAGTGTGGGAGGCTCAGGACTGAGTGCGGGGGGCTCAGGGTGACTGTGGGAGGCTCAGGGTGACTGTGGGAGGCTCAGGGTGAGGAGGGCAGACCTGAGCTCTCATCAGAGGCAGAGGTGGGAGGCCCTGAGCTGAGACCAGAGGGTCAGATGGGAATGAGCCAAGCAGAGCACAGGAGCCCTAATACTGGGAGGAGGCCAAGATCTAGCAGGAACATGGTGTTTGTGAAAGTGAAAGAAAGGCTGGGTGTCTGATGGTAACTTAGCCAGAGGGCGTGAGAACAGACAGATCCAGACAAAGAGAGAGGCAGGGGGCTCATTCCAGCTGAAGATACACCTGGAGAGGACTCTAAGGAAAAGCAATATTT